CCAGGACCCTGGGATCATGACCTGAGCCGAAGGCAGTTGCTTAACCGACTGAGCCACCCAGGCGCCCAGGAATTCTACTATTTCTGCAACCTTTGGTAAGTCAAGTTGTTTCAAAATAAAAAGTTACTAAATGTTTAAATCCCTATCTTTCAGAGATATGTACTGAAGTGTTTACACAGTGGGGGGCAGGGTAAAGAAAGAGTCTGTGGCAGTCTATTATACGCTACTTCTGTACACATGGGGAAGCTTCCACCATAAAAAGCTCAACGAAAAGCTTCCCCAATGACGCAAACATGCATCCTGGGCCCAGAACCACTGGGCTCCACTCTCGGGCCACAGCGGGGTGTCAGGACGTTCCCAGCCCTGCCTGCACCAGAGTCCAACCTGGGGAACTCGTTGAACACGGGTGGGCCAGGGTCCCACCCCAGACCAGCTTAAATCAGTGCCTCTAGGCTGGGGCCCTTGGCCTCAGGAGATTTTTAATAAGGAAATCAGACGCTGTTTGCCTCAAAGACCTGTGTTCCAGACCAACCTGAAGCAGCTAAGTTCAGACTTTGGAGCCAGGGTTCAAATCCCAGGGATGCCATTTTCTCACTGAATGACCTGGGCAAGTCCCTCCACCTCAAAGCCTTGGTTTTCGAATCTGGGAGATGGGAGCGGTGTGTCAGGCTGCTCAGCCTACCTCACACGACTATGAGGAGAGACAAATGAAATGAGTCCACGGGACTGTGTTGTAAGCTGGAACTTTCCCAACCCAGGGTGGCAACATTATTCGAGGGGGAGGCGGGGGCATTTGCTCTGGAGGCTGGTGGTGGGTGGGTTATCAGGTCAATCTCAAATGCACCTCAACTATAGCCCAATTCCACCCCAGTGTGAAAAGGTGGGGTCCCAGTGGGGAAGGGGAAGGGGATGGGGCACAGCTGACAATGACTCATTTATTTCTTGAGCAAATATTTAGGGAGGGCCTGCTTAGGTGCCAGGAGGTAGCTAAGGGCTGGGGACAGAGCTATGCATGAGACAAGAAGGCGAGGTCCCCACCTGATACCACTTCCCACCAGGGAAGGGGGAGATGGACAATTAGCAGACCGATGTGAATAAACATATAAGTATCAATGGAAGAGTCACAACAAAGAAGAAAAATGAAGGTGCCAGAGAAGGCTGGGGGCCGGGGGCCTGCTTATGCGTGAGGCAGCAAACAGCAAGGAGATGAGAGGGAGGCTATGAATCCCAGTCCTGCCACTTACCAGCTGTGGGACCTTGGCCAAGTTACCTGGTGCAGAGATTAAACGAGATGAAGCATGTTATAAGATTCCTTAGAATAATACCTGGCACAGAGTGAAAGCTGGAAGAAACGGTATTAATGGTATTAATACCAAAATCCGAAACAGAATAATAACGTCTTCCATTTCTCGCAACCCCACGACACACCGAGCACCGTCCCAGGTGCTTTACACAAGGGTTGGCAAAGAAAGGCCCACAGGCTGGCGGCTTGTCAATAAGGTGTGACTGGCACACAGTGATGCCCGCTCATTTACACACCGTCTACTTTTACATACTGTCTGCTTTTGAGCCACGATGGTTGAGGTGAGTAGTTGCAACACAAGCTACGGGGTCCACAAAGCCGGAAACATTTACTGTCTGGCTCTTTACAGAGAAAGCTGGCTAAGCTCCGCTCACATCAGAGCTCACAAAACCCTGAAACAGGGGTCACTAAGGCAGAAACCAGAGCTTCAATGACGGCCTTTTGCCTCCAAACCCGGTCTTCTTTCAGTCTTGGCATCGACATGGAGCATCGCTGTGCGAGTTACAGACCTTGCACAGAGATGCCCAGCAGAGG